AACACCTTGCCTACTGTGAAGCATGGTGGAGGGTCAATCATGCTTTGGGGCTGTTTTGCTTCTGCAGGTACAGGGAAGCTTCAGCGTGTGCAAGGTACCATGAATTCTCTTCAGTACCAGGAGATATTGGATGGAAACGTGATGCAGTCCGTCACACACCTGAGGCTTGGGAGACGTTGGACCTTTCAACAGGACAATGATCCCAAGCATACCTCCAAGTCCACTAGAGCATGGTTGCAGAGGAAAGGCTGGAACATTTTGGAGTGGCCATCGCAGTCACCAGACTTAAATCCGATTGAGAACCTCTGGTGGGACTTAAAGAAAGCAGTTGCAGTGCGCAAGCCTAAGAATGTGACTGAACTGGAGGCCTTTTGCCATGAAGAATGGGCGAAGATACCCGTAGATCGCTGCAAGACACTTGTGTCAAGCTATGCTTCACGTTTAAAAGCTGTTATAACTGTAAAAGGATGCTGTACTAAGTACTAAGATTGAATGTCACTTGGGGGTTGAATAAAACTGATAATGCTGTGAGCACAGAAAAGACATTTGTGGTTATTTCATTATAACTGTTATGTTATATTTGTCTGACCTACAAGTGCCTCTTTAATGTAAATGTAAGCAAGATGACTGAATGATCAAAAGCAATGTCAAACTGGCCAAAACACTCAATTTCAGTGGGGTTGAATAATTTTGGTCACAACTGTAACTGCAGAGTCTTTGCGCGTTAATAAGATGTGCTAAAGGTCTTTGCTGTGTCCCGAAGCCCTGTGGCATATGTGCGCATGTATGCAATCCAGTGGCCTTGGGACCTGGCAGAGACCAGCAACACACCTGTGAATGCGTCACAATTTAATATGTATGAGCAGGCAACTTGAGATCGGAGACCTCCATAACTGCAGAGTCTTTTTGCGTATGGAAACATTTGTGCTCATGCACAAATGCTCATGCACAAATGTGCCAAAGGTCTCTGCTGGGTTCCGAAACCCTGTGGCCCATCAGCGCATGCATGAAATTAGGTGGCCATTGGGGCCCGAGAGAGACCTGCAACACATTTGCACATGCGCCAAGTTTTTACAGACAACCGAAGATTTGGAACATCTATAACTGCAGAGTCTTTGCGCATGAATAAGATGTGCTAAAGGTCTTTGCCGCGTCCAGAAGCCCTGTGGCATATGTGCGCATATATGCAATGCAGTGGCCTTTGGGACCTGGCAGAGACCTGCAACACATCTGTGCATGCAACATGTTTTCCTGTGCATGAGCAGACAACCTCAGATTTGAGACCCCCATAACTGCAGCTCCATTGCACATGCGTAGTGAAACCCCCGCACATGCACAGATGTGCTAAAGGACTCTGCAGAATCTGAAGCCCTGCAGCACATCTGCACACGCATGCAATCCGGATGCCTTCGGGAGCTGAGAGAGGCCTCCAATTCATCTGCACATTTCCCACATTTTCCTGCACATGAGTAGGCAACCTCAGATCCGAGGCCTCCATAACTCCAGCATCTTTACGCATGAATAAGGAAACCCCTGAACGTGCAGATATGCCGACGGTCTCTGCTGGGTCTTGAAGCCCTGCTGCACTTCTGTGCATGCATGCAATCCAGTGGCCTTCGAAACTTGAGAAAGACCTGCAGCACATCTGCGCATGAGCAGTCAACCTCAGATCTGAGACCTCCATAACTTCAACGTCTTTGCGCATGAATAAGGAAACCCCTGAATGTGCACAGATATGCCGAAGATCTCTGCTGGGTCCTGAAGCCCTGCTGCACATCTGTGCATGCATGCAATCCAGTGGCCTTCAGGACCTGAGAAAGACCGCATGAGTAGACAACCTCAGATCTGAGACCTCCATAACTCCAGTGTCTTTGCGCATGCATGACTAGGGAAACTGCGCACGTGCACAGATGTGCTGAATGTCTCTGTTGAATCCTGAACCCTGTGGCACATCTGCTCATACATGCAATCCAGTGGCCTTCAGGACCTGAGAAAGATCGCATGAGTAGACAACCTCAGATCTGAAGCCTCCATAACTCCAGCGTCTTTGTGCATGAGTAGGGAAACTGCACACGTGCACAGATGTGCTGAATGTCTCTGTTGAATCCTGAACCCTGTGGCACATCTGCTCATACATGCAATCCAGTGGCCTTCAGGACCTGAGAAAGACCGCATGAGTAGACAACCTCAGATCTGAGACCTCCATAACTCCAGTGTCTGTGCGCATGAGTAGGGAAACTGCGCACGTGCACAGATGTGCTGAATGACTCTGCTGAATCCCGAACCCAGCGGCACATCTGCTCATGCATGAAATCCAGCAGCACACATGAGATATGAGGCACCAGGAGTGCAAAGTTGTTCTCAGCAAGGCTTGTTTTTTTGGGTGAAGGTCCACTTAAGGGTCCTTCATTACATAGTCATTGACCCAGACAGGGGCGGACTGAATAATTTGGAAACTCGGGCACTGCCCGAGGGCCCGGGGTCAGTAAGGGGCCCCATGAGATGCCCCTGGTACCTTTTTCATAGGTTTTTTTGAGTTTGGGCAAGGACACAGGGACCCCATGATCCCCTATTGCCCGGGGGCCCCATGAGTTGTCAGTCCACCCCTGGACCCAGAATACCTTGACAGGAAGGTAACTGGTGGGGCACCATCACAGCCAACCTGTTGCTTTGACCTTTATGGGCCCCATGCGGTATTGTTTTCCGTGTCTTGGCGATTCGTAAAAAATTTTTTATGGGCGGGGCCAAGGGCATAGCGAAGGACCGCAAAAAAGATGAAGATCGGTAACAATTCTGTGTCCCTGAGTAACAATTCTGTGTCCCTGAGTAACAATTCTGTGTCCCTGAGTAACGATTCTGTGTCCCTCAGTAACGATTCTGTGTCCCTCAGTACAATTCTGTGTCCCTGAGTAACAATTCTGTGTCCCTGAGTAACAATTCTGTGTCCCTCAGTAACAATTCTGTGTCCCTGAGTAACGATTCTGTGTCCCTCAGTAACAATTCTGTGTCCCTGAGTAACAATTCTGTGTCCCTGAGTAACAATTCTGTGTCTGTCCCTGAGTAACAATTCTGTGTCCCTGAGTAACAATTCTGTGTCCCTGAGTAACGATTCTGTGTCCCTGAGTAACGATTCTGTGTCCCTGAGTAACGATTCTGTGTCCCTCAGTAACAATTCTGTGTCCCTGAGTAACAATTCTGTGTCTGTCCCTGAGTAACGAATCTGTGTCCCTGAGTAACAATTCTGTGTCCCTGAGTAACAATTCTGTGTCCCTGAGTAACGATTCTGTGTCCCTAAGTAACGATTCTGTGTCCCTAAGTAACGATTCTGTGGCCCTAAAGTCTCTGTGGCCCTAACTCTGTCCCTAATACAGACAGGTCTGTCTCTCTTGAATGACCGGAGGCTAATGGAGAATTGTAAGATGGCCACAATTTATAGCTCCACCATTACACAGTGCTGGCTGGCTGGCTGCTGATTGGCTAATGCGATCACATGTCATGAATGAATGCATTATGGGTCAGCGCGCCTTGTCTGCGCGCCTTCCCAGAGATCCCCGCTCCGTCGCCACACATGTCGCCGCCATTTTTGGGAAAATTCGATTCGTGCATCCGAAGTTTGCTAATTTTCGGATTCGGCGCGAATCAAATTTTTCCTGATCTTCGAAACGAATTCCACTTCGCCAAGTTCGATTCGCTCATCTCTAAGAATCACCATTGAGAGAACTATCAGCCATGTGAAATAAAGGTGTATTGCATGTAATTTGTAATTTGTACAACAACTTTAAAAGTGGTGGAAGAAAATTCCCACAGAGGCGGCGCGGACTCCGCGATTTCCTCTTCGGTCGCCTTCGCAGCTGGGGCAGCACGCAAGCACCTCACGGGTTAAATCAGCACGAGACGAGAAAAACAACATTATTTCAAACGTTTCTATGGCAGCTAAAATGTTTTTAGCGGGCGCCATAGCAACTGCACCAGCCATCACAACTGCCGCTCGACCCCTTGTTGGAGATGGGCAGATGATGTTGTGCGGCTTCCAACATCGCCATCGCCAGCTATCCGGAGCAATGTGAGACTTAACTGCTACACCGCCGGAGCGCCGCAACGTCTGCAAGATGGAGGGAATTAACAAATTATGAGGGGTTCCCACCATCCCTGTGGTGAGTTCCCGGGTCTGTACGCCCGCTGTGCCCATTATGAGGGGTTCCCACCATCCCTGTGCTGAGTTCCCGGGTCTGTACACCCGCTGTGCCCATTATGAGGGGTTCCAGCCATCCCTGTGTTGAGTTCCCGGGTCTGTACACCCGCTGTGCCCATTATGAGGGGTTCCCAGCATCCCTGTGCTGAGTTCCCGGGTCTGTACACCCGCTGTGCCCATTACCTGGGGGCCCCATGAGTTCCCGGGTTGTCAATCCGGCCCTGCATCATCCCTGTCCTGAGTTTCCCAGGTCTGTACACCTGCTGTGCCCATTGTGAGGGGTTTCCACCATCCCTGTGCTGAGTTCCCGGGTCTGTACACACCCGCTGTGCCCATTATGAGGGGTTTCCACCATCCCTGTGCTGAGTTCCCGGGTCTGTACACCTACTGTGCCCATTGTGAGGGGTTCCCAGGGGCCCCATCCCTGTGCTGAGTGTCTGGGGTCTGTACGCCCGCTGTGCCCATTGTGAGGGGTTCTCATCATCCCTGTGCTGAGTTCCCGGGTCTGTACACCTACTGTGCCCCATTGTGAGGGGTTCCCACCATCCCTGTGCTGAGTGTCTGGGTCTGTACGCCCCCTGTGCCCATTGTGAGGGGTTCCCACCATCCCTGTGCTGAGTTCCCGGGTCTGTATGCCCACCGTGCCCATTATGAGGGGTTCCCACCATCAAGTGTAGGGGCTGGAACCCTCAAAGTTGAGTAGGAGTGACCACAACTATAATGTGGACAGTAACAGAGTCAGGAATTATAGAGGGGACATCTTGCCACCCTGACACCGGTGTCGGTGGGATCGGGAACGTCTACTGACCTCTTGTGCAGGTGCAGGAAGTCCACGATCTCCTTTTCGCTGTTGGGCTTGTTGGGGATAGTGAGGGGCTCATCATGGAAGGGCTCGTAGTAGTCAATCTCATTCATCTTCAAGGTCAACTTCTTGGCAACCTGACAGCAAAAAAAATAGACAAAGAAGGTGTAAAGAAGTGAGATTCCACCTAAGGGTTTCTCAGGGGAGGTTCGCTTGAATCCTCAGCTCCGCCCACCTTTGCCTTAGCCCTGCCCTTGAGGTTCCATTCTCAATAAAATGAAGGCTGGAGTCGTTTTACAAACACGTCTGTGCCGAAATAAAATTCGCTGGCACATCCAAAGCACATTTTTTTTTTTTTGGTGAACATCTCAGACTGAGCTAGACAAGGGGTTAACAGTTCAAACGCACGGTCCTGTTACTACGAGTGTATAAGTCACGTCTCCTTCAATATCAACGGCTCCTCTCTCTAAAACACCCACGACGGCGGAAATCAATTTGGATGCGTCGGAGCAATTAAATCTGTTTATTGCTCTGGTGAAGGCGATATTAGGTGTAACTCATGAAGGCGGACCATCGGTTTTATTGTTTCGCCTTTTTTGCGGCAGCGTGCGTCACGTCGCTGGGCTGCTCTGCTACTCATTTAACCCTTTCGGAGTGCTGTGGGCAAAGGAGGATCTGTGAGGCCACGCCCCTTGGCTTATAGACCTCCTTATATTCCTGACCGCTGTACTCTGAGTGCTGTGCTGTATGTTACAGATGCTGGACGCCTACACTCTGGGTGCTGTGCTGTATGGTACATACACTGGACTTCTGCATTCTGTATGCTGTGCTGCATGGTACATACTCTGGACTGCTGCACTCTATATGCTGTGCTGTGTATTACATACTCTGGACTGCTGCACTCTATATGCTGTGTATTACATACTCTGAACTGAGCATTCTACTGCAGCATTCTGAACTGCAGCATTCTATATGCTGTGCTGTGTATTACATACTCTGAACTGCAGCATTCTATATGCTGTGCTGTGTATTACATACTCTGAACTGCAGCATTCTATATGCTGTGCTGTGTATTACATACTCTGAACTGCAGCATTCTATATGCTGTGCTGTGTATTACATACTCTGAACTGCTGCACTCTGTATGCTGTGCTGTATGTTACATACACTGGATTACTGCACTCTGTATGCCGTGCTGTATGTTACATACACTGGACTACTGCACTCAGTATGCAGTGCTGTATGCTACATATTCTGAAGTGCTGCACTCTGTATGCTGTGCTGTGTGTTACATACTCTGGACCACTTCACTCTGTATGCTGTGCTGTGTGTTACATAATCTGGACTGCTGCGCTCTATATGTTGTGCTGTGTGTTACATACTCTGGACCGCTTCACTCTGTATGCTTCTCAGTATGTTACAAACTTTGAACTGCTGCACCACCCTGCCTGCCATTCTGTATGTCACATACACTCTACTACTGCACTCTGTGTGCCATGCTGTATGTTACATACTCTAAACTACTGCACTCTGTATGCTGTGCTTTCTATTACATACTGTTGACTGCTTCACTCTGTTTGCTGCTCTGTATGTTACATACTTTAAACTGCTGCACCCTGTATGCCTTGCTGTATGTTACATACACTGGACTACTGCACTCTGTATGCTATGCTGCATGGTGCATACTCTGCACTGCAGCACTCTATATGCTGTAATGTGTGTTACATACTCTGGACCACCTTGCTCTGTATGCTGTGCTGTATGTTACATACTCTGGACTGCTACACCCTGTATGTCATGCTGTATGTTACATTCACTAGACTACTGCTCTCTATAAGCTATTCTGCATGGTACATACTCTGATCTTCTGCACTCTGTATGCTGTGATGTGTGTTACATACTCTGGACTGCTGCACCCTGTACACTGTGCTCTATGTTACATAGTATGGACTGCTGCACCCCTGTTACACTGTGCTCTATGTTACATACTATGGACTGCTGCACCCTGTACGCTGTGCTCTATGTTACAAACTATGGACTGCTGCACCCTGTACACTGTGCTCTATGTTACATACTATGGACTGCTGCACCCTGTACACTGTGCTCTATGTTACATAGTATGGACTGCTGCACCCTGTACGCTGTGCTCTATGTTACATACTCTGGACTGCTGCACTCTCTATGCTGTGCTGTATGTGACTACATCACACATTGCACACTGAGCACATTGTATGCCATTTTTGCACATTATATACAGCGGACCATTGTGCTCTGTACATTTTGCTTCATGTTACATAATCTGGACAGATGCATTCTGTATACTGTGCTGTATGCTACCTAGTTGGGATGACTGCAGTCTGTAGACTGTTGTCATACTTTACATACCCCAAAATGCTGCACAGCGTATGCTGTGTTGTACGTCACATTCTCTAGACTTTTTACAGTCAAAATGCTATGTTGTAAACTGATATTGTAGATCTTTCTTACCTTTGCATCAAATGTGGCGAAGAATGGGATGTATGGGTGGAACTCCTCCGCAGCATCTTCATAGGCCTTGTAATCTGCAAAAAAAAAAACAGATACAGAAATCTTTAACACCTTGCTCTGGCACAATGTGCCGTACATGACATACTCTGGTCATTGCAGTCAGTATACTGTGATATATATTACATCCTTGGATTTCTCTACTTTGGGCTGTTTTATGTACTGTCCAGCATACTGCATTATCACAATATCTGGACCTCTGCGCTCTGCACATTGTGCTACATGTCACATACTTCAGGTCACTGCACCCTGTATGCTGTGCCATACATGACATACTCTGGTCATTGCAGTCAGTATACTGTGATGCATATTACATCCCTGGACTTCTCTACTTTGGGCTGTTTTATGTACTGTACAGCATACCGCATTATCACAATATCTGGACCTCTGCACATTGTGCTATATGTCACATACATCAGTTAGCTTCACCCTGTATGCTGTGTTGTGTAATAACATACTTGTCCACAGTATGCTGCAGAATACTCTGGTCATTGCAGTCAGTATGCTCTGATGTATATATTACATCCCTGGACTTCTCTACTTTGGGCTGTACATTACACATTACTGACCTCTATGTACTGTGCAGGATACCGCATTATCACAATATCTGGACCTCTGCGCTCTGCACATTGTGCTACATGTCACATACTTCAGTTCGCTTCACCCATGCTGTGCCGTACATCACATACTCTGGTCATTGCAGTCAGTAAGTATACTGTGATGTATATTACATCCCTGGGCTTCTCTACTTTGAGCTGTTCTATGTACTGTACTGTATACTGCATTATCACAATACTGGACCGCTACACGTTGCGCATCACATACATCAGTTTGCTTCACCCTGTATGCTGTGTTGTACATTACATACTCTGGACATTGCAGTCAGTATGCTGCACAATATCTGGACCTCTGCACACGTTGTGATATATACCACATACTTCAGTTCGCTTCACCCTGTATGCTGTGCCGTACATCACATACTCTGCTCTTTGCAGTCAGTATGCTGTGATATATATTACGTCCCTGAACTTCTCTACTTTGGGCTGTTCTATGTACTGTACAACATACTGCATTATCACAATATCTAAACATCTGCACATTGTGCTATATGCCACATACTTCAGTTCGCTTCACCCTGTATGCTGTGTTGTACATTACATACTCTGGACATTCCAGTCAGTATGCTGCAGAAAATCTGGACCTCTGCACATTGTGCTATATGCCACATACTTCAGTTCGCTTCACCCTGTATGCTGTGCTATACATTACATGGTCATTGACGTCAATATGCTATGATGTACATTACATCCCTGGACTTCTCTGCTTTGGGCTGTACATTACATATTACTGACCTCTATGTACTGTGCAGGATACTGCATTATCACAATATCTGGACCTCTGTGCTCTGCACATTGTGCTACATGTCACATACTTGAGGTCACTTCACCCTGTATGCTGTGCCGTACATCACATACTCTGCTCTTCACAGTCAGTATGCTGTGATGTATATGACATCCCTGGACTTCTCTACTTTGGGCTGTTCTATGTACTGTACAGCATACCGCATTATCACAATATCTGGACCCCTGCCCTCTGAACATTGTGCTGTACGTCACATTCCTCCGGCCATCGCAATCTGTATCTTTTTTTTCCCCGTATGTTACATAAAGCAGACCTGTGGATTCTGTACAAAAGCCCGGAACCCGGGGCCCCGGGACGTCTCTATACTCTGTACTGTGAGCGTCTCATGTTTCAGGCTCTGGGGGAGGCAGGCCGGTTTAATCAATGTCCCCCACAGCTGAAAGCTGAAATGCGGGCTTCCGATAGGAGTTCCTGCTCTTTAAACTGGTGGGCTGAAAGGAGGGGAGAGAGGGAAGGGGTGCAGGGGTGGACTGACAACTCATGGGGCCCCCCGGGAAATAGGGGATTATGGGGCCCCTGCATCCTTGCCCACACTTTAAGCACACCCAAAAAAGCCTATAAAAGGTACCAGGGGCATTTCATGGGGCCCCCTACTGACCCTGGGCCCTCGAATGGTCAGTCCGCCCCTGGGGGGGTGGTACTTTCGTGAGCTTAAAGCTCAGAGTGGCCCAGAAGCCCATAAAGCAGGCAGGGGGGGCGGGGCAGTGACACCGAGCAGCCTCCTTATGGCCCTGCAGGGGCACCTCTCTGCCCCATTGATCCTTCTGGGTGGGGTTTCCCTTTAAGCCGTGAGTCAGACATTCTAGCCGATGACTAGGGACAGCTCCTGTGCTGATTGCGGTGTCTAAACCCGCCGTCATCACCCCATCCAACAGGGTCCAGGCCAGGGGCGGACTGACTATTCGAGCACTCGGGCACTGCCCGAGGGCCCGGGGTCAGTAGGGGGCCCCATGAAATGCCCCTGGTAACTTTTGTATAGGCTTTTTTGAGTGTGGGCAAGGACACAGGGGCCCCATGATCCCCTATTGCCCGGGGGCCCCATGAGTTGTCAGTCCGCCCCTGATCCAGGCTGAGATCGCTCATCCAGTTAGAAATTTACTAGCATCTCTATGAGGCTCCTGAATTATTAAGTAGGGGGGGGGGGGCGCGGGGGGGGGGAGGAGTCGCGCGTCAGCACTTCGCCACCTTATCGCAGCGTTACACATGTCGCAGCATTAAAACAAATTATTGATGCGTTTGTAGCTCATGTGAAAGGTCCGAGTGACTCACAAGCGACTGGCGGGGGCTGCAGCGACCTCCCCGCGTCCAGCGCCGGCGAGGAATTTAAAAAAAAAGAGAGAAAAGGAACGGGAAAGCCGCCGCTGATCCCGGTTTTCTGTGACTCCCAGATTTGAACCTGTGTGCGGTCGCATCTACAAGCAGAATTCAGGCCGAGGACAGGACGACTTTCAAAAAAAAAAAAATCGACTCTAGACGCGCTAAAGTAGAATTTGAGGCGTCGTGTCACTTTAAGAAAGTCACGTCGGCCAGCTTGGCCGGTGCAAACTATATACCTGAAGCTTTGAATTCCACTGTAACCCCGGGTTCACAACTATGCGTTTTTTGATGCGTTTTCGCAAAAACGCACTACAGTCCGTTGAACATGTTTTCCTATGGGACAGGTTCACATCTCCGCGTTTTCACCCGCTGCGTTTTTTTTGGAATGAATCGGGGACTTTTTTGAACTCAAAAAGTTGCGGTTTTGGTTCTATAGGCTTCAATGGAAACGCTGCAAAAAAGCATGTAGTGCGCTTTTGCTGCATTTTGCTTTTTAAATCTGCCTAGCAACAAGAAAAAAAAAACGCAACGCAATGAAGAAACGGCTCAGGGCCAGTTCACACGACATGCGTTTCAGTTGCTTTTTTTCTGCATCCAAAACGCGTTTTGCGTTTTAAATCTGCCTAGCAACAAGAAAAAAAAAATGAAAAAAGAAACGCAAAATGCATAATAAAACGCAGCAAAAATGCAAAACGCAACGCAATGAAGAAACGGCTCTGTGCCAGTTCACACGACATGCATTTCAGTTGCTTTTTTTCTGCATACAAAACGCATTTTGCTTTCTAAATCTGCCTAGCAACAGGAAAAAATAATGAAAAAAGAGATGCAAAACGCATAAAAAATGCAGCAAAAATGCAAAACACAACGCAATGAAGAAACGACTCAGGGCCAGTTTACACGACATGCATTTCAGTTGCTTTTTTTCTGCATACAAATCGCGTTTTGCATTTTAAATCTGCCTAGCAACAAGAGACATTTGAAAAAAAATTTAAAAAAGAAACCAAAACGCATAACTAACGCAGCAAAGGTGCAAAACGCAACACAATGAAGAAACGGCTCAGGGCCAGTTCACACGACATGCGTTTCTGTTGCTTTTTTCTACATCCAAAACGCACAGAAAGTAGGTGATATGGTGGTCAATGTCATAGTTACCGCCCAAAACACACCACAAAAATCGCAGCTGAAAACCTCACAAAAATCCAAGATCGAAAAACTCGCATTTGTCGCAGGTAGAGCAGACCATTGAAATAAATGCGTGTGGCATGACAACGCACAAAAACACATCTATTGGCAGAATAAAAGTACTGCAGGGACATCTCTGGATTGAAGGGGGATATTGCTGGCCAGACTGAGGACATCTAGTGTCAGATTGAGAGTACTGCAGGGAAATCTCTGGATTGCAGGGGGGGTATTGCTGGCCATCAGACTGAGGACATCTATTGGCAGAATAACAGTAGTGCAGGGGACATCTCTGGATTGAAGGGGGGTATTGCTGGCCATCAGAATGAGGACATCTAGTGTCAGATTGAGATTACTGCAGGGACATCTCTGGATTGCAGGGGGGTATTGCTGACCATCAGAATGAGGACATCTGAGGGCAGAAAAAGGTACTGCAGGGGACATCTCTGGATCGAAGGGGGATATGGCTGGCCATCAGACTGAGGACATCTATTGGCAGAATAACAGTACTACATGGGACATCTCTGGATTGAAGGGGGATATTGCTGGCCATCAGAATGAGGACATCTAGTGTCAGATTGTGATTACTGCAGGGACATTTTTGGATTGAAGGGGGGTATTGCTGACCATCAGACTGAGGACATCTGATTGGCAGAATAACAGTACAGCAGGGGACATCTCTGGATTGAACGGGGATACTGCTGGCCATCAAACTGAGGACATCTATTGGCAGAATAACAGTACTGCAGGGGACATCTCTGGATTGAAGGGGGATATTGCTGGCCATCAGAATGAGGACATGTAGTGTCAGATGAGATTACTGTAGGGACATTTTTGGATTCAAGGGGGGTATGCGTTTGCTGACCATCAGACTGAGGACATCTATTGGCAGAATAACAGTACTGCAGGGACATCTCTGGATTGAACGGGGATACTGCTGGCCATCAAACTGAGGACATCTATTGGCAGAATAACAGTACTGCAGGGGACATCTCTGGATTGAAGGGGGGTATTGCTGGCCATCAGACTGAGGACATGTAGTGTCAGATTGAGAGTACTGCAGGGACATCTCTGGATTGCAGGGGGGTATTGCTGGCCATCAGACTGAGGACATGTAGTGTCAGATTGAGAGTACTGCAGGGACATCTCTGGATTGAAGGGGGATATCTGGCCATCAGAATGAGGACATCAATTTGCAGAATAAAAGTACTGCAGGGGACATCTCTGGATGAAGGGGGGTATTGCTGGCCATCAGAATGAGGACATCTATTGGCAGAATAAAAGTACTGCAGGGACATCTCTAGATTGCAGGGGGGTATTGCTGGCCATCAGACTGAGGACATCTATTGGCAGAATAAAAGTACTGCAGGGACATCTCTGGATTGAAGGGGGGGGTATTGCTGGCCATCAGACTGAGGACATCCATTGGCAGAATAAAAGTACTGCAGGGTACATCTCTGGATTGCAGGGGGGTATTGCTGGCCATCAGACTGAGGACATCTATTGGCAGAATAAAAGTACTGCAGGGTACATCTCTGGATTGAAGGGGGGTATTGCTGGCCATCAGACTGAGGACATCTATTGGCAGAATAAAAGTACTGCAGGGTACATTTCTGGAACTGAAGCAGAAGATCTCTCTTTACCTTGTAATGGGCTATTCATTTTTATCTTAGATTTAATTTAGGAGCCGATCCTCCATCGGCTGTTAGGGCCCCTTCTCATGTCTCTGGTCACTTTAGGAGCCTTCACCTTATCTCAGTCCATCCGACTGGACCAACTCTCGGATATACATTCTGGGTGAACCGAACGTTTTGCATTTAAAAGGTTTTAAAAAATCTTGGCACAGCGGTCCCTGTACTCCCATCTCCTATTTCATGGGCCCTCAGTCCTTCATCCCAGCAGAGGGGCCACATCCAGTAAATCAGCGCCGTGTGATACGTTGCATCGCTCGCCCCGTCTTGTTGCTGGAGCGGGTACCAGTCACGCTGCAGCTTACCCATTAGTTAGCTTAGACCCTGCGCTTCGTCATAAATGTGTGGTTCGAGGGAGCGGTAAACATATGCAAATATGCGAGGATTAATCTAGCACGCAGCGAACGCCACGGCTTGATGTATGCAGGAAGAAAGCTGATATTTCCAGTGGGTGGGCTGCATGCAACCGAGATACAGAGCTCGGGCTTAAAGGGCCAGCAAACAGAAATCGTACACGGGATCGATATAGAAGCTTCAAACGATTTCAATTGAGTTTTGGAAAGGCCATGAAAGGGTTAACCCCCCCCCCCTTTTTTTTTTTTTGCTGTCTGCGATCTTGTTTCCCTTCCTGGGCCCCAGAAATAAGAGGAAGTCTCTTTGAAGTAATGCAGGCCATAGACGGGTCGAAAATCGGCCGATTTTCGCACCGTTAGTGGGTTCAGTGGTCGGCCGTTTTTCAGGGTTTCGGCACATTTTTTTTTATCAGTCAAGTTGGAAAATTCGCGGCCGATTTTGACGATCGGCCGATTTTCCCGGCAACGATGGGGAAATCGGCCGATCGTTTTACCGATACAAAATCTGCGCGTGAGCCGTGACCTGCAAGAAGAAGAAAAAAGAAGTCGAAGAAAAATAGGAAGAAGAAGAAAAAGAAGAAGAAGATAAAGAAGAAAAACGGAGAAGAAGGAGAAGAAGAAGAAAAAGAAGTAAAAAAAAGAAGAAGAAGAAGAAAAAGAAGAAAAACGAAGAAGAAAAAGAAGAAAAAAGAAGTAAAAAAGGAGAAGGAGAAGAAAAAGAAGAAAAACGAAAAAAGAGAGGGAAGAAAAGAAGTAAAAAAGAAGAGGGAAAAGAAGAAGATAAAGAAGAAAAGAAGAAGAGAAAAAGAAGAAAAAGAAGTAAAAAAAAGAAGGAGAAGAGAAAAAGAAAAAAAAGAAAAAAAAAAGAAGTAAAAAAGAAGAAGGAGAAGAAAAGAAAAGAAGTAAAAGAAGAAAAAAAGAAGCAAAAGAAGAAGAAGAAAAAAAGAAGAAAAAGATGTAGAAAAAAAAGAAGAAAAAAAGAAGAAGAAGAAGAAGCAGAAGAAGTAAAAGAAGAAGAAAAAAAAAGAAGTAGAAGAAAAAGAAGCAGAAGAAAAAGAAGTAGAAGAAAAAGAAGAAGAAGAGAAGAGGAAGAAGAATAAGTAGAAGAAGAGAAAAAAGAAAAAGAAGACAAAGAAGTAGAAGAAAAAGAAGAGAAGAAGGAGAATAAAGAAGAAGAAAAGAAGAAAAAAAAAAGAAGAAAAAGAAGAAGAAGAAAAAGAAAGAAGAAGAAAAAAAAAAGAAGTATTCCAGTCCGCTATTATATTTTATATGAAAAGTCTTGCGGTTGCAACAATGTATCCATTTGTATCCGAACAAAAACATCTGTATCCGAAATGGATACAAATGGATACATTGTTGCAACTGCAAGACTTTTTCATGTCAAATATAATAGCGGAGCTCTCTGCAGGGACAGAAGTAAAAATGCCGGCCATAGACGGTACGAAAATTGGCCGATTTTTTACCATTGGTGGTGACATCGGCCGATTGAACGGCCGATTTCCTTTTTTTTTTTTTTTTTTAAAAAAGGCCAGTTTTTGACCCGTCTATGGCCTGCATAAGGGTGCCCCCATAAATTGTTTTCCCCTCTATTCCCACTGTGTCCCCCCACTAAAGCTGGCCATACACGGGTCAAATTCCGAAAGAAATTTCTTTCGAAAATCTTTTCTAAGTATTTTCGTTCGAATTTCGCACCATTATTGGGGCCGCAGCAACGGCCGATTTTGAAACGACCATCGAATTTGAAGGATCGGGCATGTTGGAAATTTTTTGAAAAAAGGAACAAATTTCTAATCAATGGCGGGGAGAAATGTAATCACAAAAGAAACGGGCGTGAGCTGTGACCTGGAAAGGATGAAAATTCTTGGCCACGAAAAAAATTATTTTTTGTATCAACATGTGAAACTGACGGCTCGGTTGGTCGAATTTTGAAATCAATGGTGGCACCATTGGGTTACAAAATGCATAAAATTTCAGAATTTCTTAAAAATTAGTTCGGAATTCGACCCGTGTATGGCTTGAATTAAGCAGGGTCGAATTCTGAATAAATTTTCTTTAGAAAATAGGAAATTTCATGCATTTGTAACCCGATGGTGCCACCATTGACTTCGAAATTTGACCAACCAAGCCTTCAGTTTCACCTCATGTTGCTACAGAAAAGAATTTTCGTGGCCAAGAATTTTCTTTTCTTTCCAGGTCACGGCTCACACTCGTTTCTTTTTCAATTATATTTCTCGCACGATTCTCCCATCATTGATTAGAAATTCATTAGTTTTTCTAAAAATTTCCAACACGCTCGATCCTTCAAATTCAATGGTGGCACAAAAGGGGAGGAGCCAGTACACCTGTACAAGACTGAAGGGGAGGACTCGGTACACCTGTACAAGACTGAAGGGTAGGAGCCGGTACAACTGTGCAAGACTGAAGGGGAGGAGCGGTACACCTGTGCAAGACTGAAGGGGAGGAGCCAGTACACCTGTGCAAAACTGAAGGGGAGGAGCAGGTACAACTGTGCAAGACTGAAGGGGAGGAGCGGTACAACCTGTGCAAGACTGAAGGGGAGGAGCCGCTACACCTGTGCAAGACTGAAGGGGAGGAGCCGATACACCTGTGCAAGACTGAAGGGGAGGAGCCGGTACACCTGTGCAAGACTGAAGGGGAGGAGCCGGTACACCTGTGCAAAGACTGAAGGGGAGGAGCCGATACACCTGTATAAGACTGAAGGGGAGGAGCCGGTACACCTGTGCAAGACTGAAGGGGAGGAGCCGGTACACCTGTACAAGACTGAAGGAGAGGACGATACACCTGTGCAAAACTGAAAGGGAGGAGCCGGCATAACTGTGCAAGACTGAAGGGAGGAGCCAATATAACTGTGCGACTGAAGGGGAAAGCCGGTATAACTGTGCAAGACTGAAGGGGAGGAGCCGCTTTACCTGTCCAAGACTGAAGAAGAGGAGCAACTGTGCAAGACTAAAGGGGAGGAGCCTGTACACCTGTCCAAGACTAGAGGGGAGGAGATGGTACACCTGTGCAAGACTGAAGGGGAGGAGCCGGTACACCTGTGCAAGACTGAAGGGGAGGAGCCGGTACACCTGTGCAAGACTGAAGGGGAGGAGCTGGTACACCTGTGCAAGACTTTTGGGGAGGAGCCGGTACACCTGTGCGAGACTGAAGGGGAGGAGCCAGTACACCTGTGCAAGACTGAAGGAGAGGAGCTGGTACACCTGTGTAAGACTGGAGGGAAGGAGCCGGTACACCTGTGCGAGACTGAAGGGGAGGAGCTGGTGCACCTGTGCAAGACTGAAGGGGAGGAGCCAGTACACCTGTGTAAGACTGGAGGGGAGGAGCTGGTGCACCTGTGCAAGACCGCAGGGGAGGAGCTGGTACACCTGTACAAGACTGAAGGGGAGGAGCCAGTACACCTGTGTAAGACTGGAGGGGAGGAGCCGGTACACCTGTGTGAGACTGAAGGGGAGGAGCCGGTACACCTGTGTAAGACTGGAGGGGAGGAGCCAGTACACCTGTGTAAGACTGGAGGGGAGGAGCCGGTACACCTGTGTGAGACTGAAGGGGAGGAGCCGATGCACCTGTGCAAGACTGAGGCCGGAGGGAGGATTTAGAAATGTTAGAACACAGACAGCAATAAAATCCTGAGAGAGGTTCTAACCCTTTCCTTCTCCACCCAAAACTAAAATGGACTATAAAGCACATTGTCAGGCCGCCATTACTTCCGCCTTCATTCGACTGATTCGCATTCGCAAACATATATCTAAAATAAAATGTAACTCTTTACAGTAAAAAGAAATCGTATCTTTGTAACATTCGTCGTGTTTCTAATAAGGCCAATGTTACATTTGTTGACCAAGATCGTTTTTTTTTTTTAATTCTCCTTTTTTCCCCCCATTCCAAGCCCAGGGGACAGAGGACAGCGGGGACATAGATGGGGGGGAGGGGACACAAGCGCGCGCTCGCGTTGTGTTGGCAGGTAATACACCTTCTCTTGTTTCTGCGGCTTGGCTGTGTATCCGTTCGGAAGGAGCCGCTCTTTAGCGAGATCGATTCCCGGCACAGCCAAGAGACCATCTTTATTAACAGGCAGAGGTAAACAAAGGGCTTCAGCGGGGAAGGGGGGGGGGGGAGCGGCGACGGCCGGCGGCTCGTGCTGCGGAAGCATGCTTTGTGTGCCATCTGAAAAGAATGGATGGGGGAGGGGGGTATTTGCTGACTCCATAAATCCCTTAATACCCCCTTTATCACGGGCTTCACAGATATGTCATTAACCCTTACGGGAGCCCGACGATACAGATCCGAATCTCAGAGTGTGTAGGCTTCTGGTCATTTTAGCTAGGACAGCGCCGGGCCCCCTTTTGCTTCAGGGCCCCATAGCAGTTGCATAACGTCTACCAGCGCCGGGAGAAGGTCATCCAGCACCCAGGGCCAAGACACCAAATTGTACCTCTCTCCTCTGTGATATGTGCGCCCAATTGTCCCACCCCAAAGTGCGCCGGAGTCTTCCATCTGAAAGCACTGGGCCCAGGGCAGCTGCCCCTCCTGCCCCTCCCTTGTCCCAGCCCCGGGGTCTATGATGGCTATAGGTGTGCCCTGGGCTCATAGAGGGGATCCACCACCATGAAAACGCTGTTGTGCCAGCAGGGGCGGACTGACCATTTGGAAACTCGGGGACTGCCCGAGGGCCCGGGGTCAGTAGGGAGCCCCATGAGATGCCCCTGGTACCTTTTTCATAGGCTTTTTTGAGTTTGGGCAAGGACACAAGGGCCCCATGATCCCCTATTGCCCGGGGGCCCCATGAGTCGTCAGTCCGCCCCTGTGTGCCAGTTACCTCCAGGAATATTCATTTAAAGGCTTTGTAATTTTGTCCAGCCAAACCTGAGAGTTACACCCCCCTGCCAGACAGTACAGACAGCCTGGTGACCTGACTTTTCTCCTGTTCCAACAATGCAAGAAAGCCCGGTCACCTCCCCTCCCTCTGTGATTGGACCATGGAGGAGGGACTGAATACTGGTGGGTCATCTTTTTGCTCTTTCCTCCTCCTTGTCAGCACAGGGGAATTATTGAAGCTCGTGGCAAGATAGATTCAGATAATAGACTTTGAAGGACCATTATAAATAAATGGACACCCACTGAGGGACCATTATTAATAAAGGAATGTTCATCAAGAGACCGTTGTCAATAAATGGACACTTTTTGAGGAACCATTATAAATAAATGGATGCTAACTGAGGGACCATTATAAAAAAATGGGCACTCGTCAGGGGACCATTATAAATAAATGGACGCTCATTGAAGGATCATTATAAATAAATGGACGCTCATTGAGGGACCATTATAAATAAATGGACGCTCATTGAGGGACCATTATAAAATAAATGGACGCTCATTGAGGGACCATTTATAAAAAATGGACGCTCATTGAGGGACCATTATAAATAAATGGATGCTCATCAAGGGATCATTATAAATAAATAGACGCTTATTGAGGGACCATCATAAATAAATGGACACTCACCGAGGGACCACTATAAATAAATGAATGTTCATCAAGGGACTATTATCAATAAATGGATGCTCATTGAGGGACCATTATAAATAAATAGACACTTATTGAGGGACCATCATAAATAAAAGGACGTTCATCGAGGGACCTTTATAAATAAATGGACACTCACCGATGGACCATTATAAATAAAATGGACACTAAAACCGATGGACCATTATAAATAAATAGACGCCCACTGAGGGACCATTATAAATAAATTAATGCTCAGCAAGAGACCATTATAAATAAATGGACGCTCATTAAGGGACCATGAGAAATAAATGCATGCTTGTTGAGGGACCATTATAAGTAAATGGACGCTCATTGAGTGACCTTGATAAATAGACGCTCATAGAAGGACCTTTAATAATAAATGGACGCTCATCGAGGGACCATTATAAATAAATGGACGTTTATTGAGGGACCATTATAAATAAATGATTGCTTACTGAGGGACCATTATAAATAAATGGACGTTTATCGAGGGACCATTATAAATAAATGGACGTTCATCGAGGGACTTTTATAAATAAATGGACGCTCATCGAGGGACTTTTATAAATAAATGGACGTTCATCGAGGGACCATTATAAAATAAATGGACGTTCATCGAGGGGACCATTATAAAATAAATGGACGTTCATCGAGGGACCATTATAAATAAATGGACGTTCATCGAGGGACCATTATAAATAAATGGACGTTCATCGAGGGACCATTATAAATAAATGGACACTCATTGAGGGACCTATAAAAAAAAAATGTTCACTCATTGAGGGACCATTATACATAAATGGACACTCCCACGACACGTGCACAACATACATGTGAGCAACACTCCTTGGTGCAGCATAATGCAAACTGTGATTGAGTCCATAAAATCAATCGAATCTTCATTTCCAAATGTATCTTTTATTTTTTGATTTGGCGCCTAAAGATTCTATCTTTACTATCAAATCTTAAAAGCTTTTCTGGTAATTTTGAATCATTTTTTCATCTTCATCTCCCAGACACATTAAAAATGAATTTTGGGGTGGAGTGGACCACTTAAACCTGACATTAGCATTGCCCGTGGTTGTGGGCCCGGCCGGCATGCTCTGTCCTCCAGGACAGTCTCATTGTATTGGGGGATCTGGAATCCCGGTTTAATCTACGTTCAAAAAAAATGTTCACTCATTGAGGGACCATTATACATAAATGGACACTCCCACGACACGTGCACAACATACATGTGAGCAACACTCCTTGGTGCAGCATAATGCAAACTGTGATTGAGTCCATAAAATCAATCGAATCTTCATTTCCAAATGTATCTTTTATTTTTTGATTTGGCGCCTAAAGATTCTATCTTTACTATCAAATCTTAAAAGCTTTTCTGGTAATTTTGAATCATTTTTTCATCTTCATCTCCCAGACACTTGCGAAACCGAAAGGGGGTTTAACAGTCGAGGACCCACTAAACCATCAATTTTGGGTGGAGTGGCCACTTAAACCTGACATTAGCATTGCCTGTGGTTGTGTTTGCCCGGCCGGCATGCTCTGTCCTCCAGCTCAGTCTCCATTGTATGGGGGATCTGCTCTGAATCCCGGTTTAATCTACGTTCATCCCCTGATAGAGAATTCCTCTGACAGACCAGACAAAAAGAACTCCGTCAGCTTTTTTTTTTTTTTTTTATACATGGCTCCAATATTAATCCTTTATTCTACATAATACAACCCCAATGGAGTCGCTAGCTTAGAGTGCACCTGTAAACATGCCCCGTAGTCTTTTCAAGTGCCCCGGGTTCCAGAGGGGTTTGATATGCAACTGATTTGCCTCCAAAAGTCATGTTGTGGCCTGCTGCCTACTTTCGTGAATGCCAAGCAATTGGTTAGTGATCCTGTCCATCTTCAGTAAGGACTGTTAGCTAGACGTGGAAGGTAGAAGGGAGCAGTCTAACCCAGGTGCAGACTGACAACTCATGGGGCCCCCAGGCAATAGGGGATCATGGGGTCCCTGTGTCCTTGCACAAACTTAAAAAAGCCTAAAAAAAAGGTAGCAGGGGCATCTCATGGGGCCCCCTACTGACCCCCGGCCCTCGGGCAGTGCCCGAGTTTCCAAATGGTCAGTCCGCTCCTGGTCTAACCCTTGACTTTAGAATGCAAAGTCAGAATTTGCATATCAGGTTTGAGGGTTCTGGAGCACTTTAAAAGATACTGACAGTTGCATACAGGCACCTCAGGGTACTTAATAAGAGATTAAATGGTGATATTAGGGCAAGCAGCACAAGTTCATAAAGTCCATAAGAGTCCAATAGTCCTGTAATGCTATCAACGGGCTCACTTAGGGCAGTCACCCTGGAGTCAGGGGCGGACTGACCATTTCAGCACTCGGGCACTGCTGTTTGGAGTCACTGCCCCACCCCCCCCTGCCTGCTTTATGGGCTTCTGGGCCACTTTGAGCTTTAAGCTCACGAAAGTACCACCCCCCAGGGGCGGACTGACCATTCGAGGGCCCAGGGTCAGTAGGGGGCCCCATGAAATGCCTCCGGTACCTTTTATAGGCTTTTTTGGGTGTGCTTTGAGTGTGGGCAAGGACACAGGGGCCCCATGATCCCCTATTACCCGGGGGCCCCATGAGTTGTCAGTCCGCCCCTGCCTGGAGTAGAACAAAAAGGGAGGAATGGGGGCGCCCACTTAGTGTAGCATTAAAGTCTGGAAAAGAGCAAACAGATGGCACAAATACCTAGCGCATGATCCACGGTT